GATAAAGGAGAGATTGAAAAAATAATAAAAAAATGCTAAAACAAAGTCAGCACAATAATTTTGAAAATGAAGAGGAAGTAAATTATTTTCTAGAAAAATATAACTTGTGAAATCTAACTCCAAATAAAAATTAAAAATCTAAAAATGCCTACAACCGTTAAAGATTTTGAATAAGGGCCACCCGGTGGCGCACTGGATAGTGCGCCGCTTGGGAAGTGTGGCGGCGCTCCCGCCCGAGGGTTCGGATCCCACATACGGACCGGTTCCTGCTCACTGGCTGAGCGAGGCACGGGAGCAACGCCGAGGGTTGCGATCCCGTTGCCGGTCCCCGGTCCGGTGCGGGGGCAACACTGAGGGTTGCGATCCGTTGCCAGACACGGAAAAAGACAAAAGACAAAAAAAAAAAAAAGATTTTGAATAAGGGCCACCCGGTGGCGCACTGGATAGTGCGCCGCTTGGGAAGTGTGGCGGCGCTCCCGCCCGAGGGTTCGGATCCCACATACGGACCGGTTCCTGCTCACTGGCTGAGCGAGGCACGGGAGCAACGCCGAGGGTTGCGATCCCGTTGCCGGTCCCCGGTCCGGTGCGGGGGCAACACTGAGGGTTGCGATCCGTTGCCAGACACGGAAAAAGACAAAAGACAAAAAAAAAAAAAAAGATTTTGAATAAGCAATTAAAAGCATAAAAACATACTGCTACAGGTTAAATGTGTCCCCCCAAAGTTCACATATTGGAAGCTTAATCTCCATTGTAACAGTGTTAAGAAGGTGGGAAATCCAATTATGGTAATTGAAAGATGAGGCCTTTGAGAGGTGATTGGATTGTGAGGACTGTGCTTTTGTGAATGGATTGATCCATTGATGGAGTAATAGGTGTGGTTCTGACGGCTTTAGAAGGAGACTGAGGAGGTTGCCTCTTGGTCAGCCCATTCTCACCATATGATGTCCTGCTGCCTTGGAGAAAACCCACCAGAGAGAAGGCCCCCACCACATGTGTTCCCTGGACTTTGTACTTGCCAGCCTTCAAAATTGTAAGAAATAAACTTTATTTTCTCTAAACATTACCCAGTTTCAGGTATTCTCTTGTAAACAACAGAAACAGACTAATACACGTATCATACTAAGATTTTTACTGGTGATATCTATCAAACATTCGAGTTACAGATCATTCTTATCTGTACAAAATCTTGCAGGGGTTAGAAAAAGAAAGAACACACTGTAACTCATTCTGTGAGGCTGGAGACTATAGTTTCCTAATATAAACATGAGAAAAAGTATACGTTTAGGAAAGGAAAATCACATGCTATCTCACTTATATATATAGATGAAAACATTTTATCAATGAAATACACAATGATTTTAAGGAAGAATTTAATATAGTCAACTTGGGTTTATTCTGAGAGTTGCACAGTAGTTAAACATCAGAATAAATAATGTGATACGATGACAAATTAATGGAGAAAACCCATATGATCAGCATTGCTGGTAATGGAGAAAAAACAACTTCCACAATAACAACAAACAACTTAATGTCCATTAATAGGAGAATGAATGAATAAATTGTAAGTTATTTATTCTATGGGAAAATGTCCAACAAATGAAAATGGTGGAACTGGAGTCCACATACCAACACAAGTGAATTTCATAAACATAATTTAGACCAACAACGGCACTTTGTGGAATATATACAAAATGATACAATTCTTATAAAATCTAAAAACATGCTAAACAATTCTACATATTTTTAGGGATACATACATATGTATTAAAAGTAGAAATATATATGCATAAATGATTTTAATAACATATTTTAAACATGAAAAAAACATTTAATATTGTGATTGCTTCAGAGGCAATGGAGGTGGGAATGAGATCAGAGAGGAGTTTCATATTTTAAGTCAAATAATGGACAAATGAATTTTTTTTTT